CGGTATTCTTCTTACATCCTCAGCAAAACATTTTACAATAATAATTTCTTGTTATTTTATTGGTAACGACGCAACGGTAGAACTGTCCTGACTGGTGTGGGCACACTCTAAAAACCGATCTCTATGGTTGTTTTATACTGCTCTGAAAAACTCAGAAAGTTTGTACCAGTTTTCTGAATTTTTATTGCGTATCATATATTCTTCAGTTTACTCAATAATTTCCGATTTTGTTGTGCAAAACGTTTTTATATTATTTCAGACTTGGTCACAAACTGAAAACCTTTTCACTTAGGAAATTGTGTCCGATTTAGATTCTTAGATCAATTAGGTGTCAACTGCGCATTGGAGAATTGTGATGGAAGGATTCCATGCGATGGGAACATATTATGAGTACCATCGATCGGGAAGACTATGCGATGTCTAATAATGTTGCTTAAAGTACGACGAGGTGGTGGGGCCCTTTGATCAGTCATTACTAGGACGGAATAAATTTGTCCATTTGGAAAAAAACAGAAATCGACTCAATTATAAATCACTGGGGATCTGTATCTCATTGAGAAACGCAAACTATTTAATATAACAAAGTCGATATCAGAGATGAATGTGTTTAATTTTATTAAAATTTAAATGATTTGTGATAAAAAAACCCAAATGACTAAGATTATTGCATAGTTAGCTTTTCGGAAAATCAGTTTATCACTCTCCGTAGCCGAACCATTAGTCTGTGTGTTATAATACGCATGGCATTTGGCCACAGCTGTCAGCTCAGCTTTATTTATAGTTGCTGAAATATATTCACCGTCATAAAGTGCGATAAACAAGTTTAGGGCCCTGGGTGAAGAATGGCATGTTCTGATTGTCCACGTATGATAACAGCTTACACAGACGTCGCAACTAATCAATCCTAGTGTTGACTGATGTAAGTCAATTATAAAAGAGTTTGATTATATCCGGTGAATCGGTTCCCGGGTACGTTTCAGACCCTACAGGACGTCATAAGAAGTGAAACATTTCCGCGGAGATGGCTTTGTTTATCACAAACATTTACTCGCAGAGATTTAGGGTTCTTTGGATGGGGACTGATGGTTTCGTTGGATTCAGAAAATATCTGACTTTAGTGGTTCACAAAGCGTTGAATGAATAGTGTGCCATACATTATAATCATGCGGCTCACTGGCTTCGTGAATCCGCCTGTGACATTAAAAGACCTGTTTCAGACTGTGGGATGAATGAATGATAAAATGTTTCTCATGTCAAAGCGAAATATCTTATCAATTCGTTGTTTTCATCGTATACGATAAAGGATTGTGTAGTTATCTGGTTCAGTAAACAGTTCCTTGAAACAAAGGATTATTCTAACATTTATATAACTCGTTTTCAGTGCGAATATCTGTTGGTTCATTCCGGGATTCAAACCGGGAACGCCCACAATTGGAGGTATGATTTCTGTCATAAACCAGCACATTTGATGACTGGTATTTAAGGCGGATGGTCAAATTCATTATTTGCGACAACCTTGCCTCGAGCTGTAACATGAACATGAGCGAATACTGTACTTCACCGAAGGACTTCATATCGCTATTTATCATCAGGCATTTTCAAAACTATTCCACCAATTAAATGTTTGAGCCCAATAGTGATGCCATAGGACGTTTTATAAGCAGAAACTCAATAATCAGGAAAATCCTAATATCAATGCAATTCTAACAATTTCATGTTCTTTAATGCATAAAAATTTTGAATTAATCTCATACAGATGTTTTTTTCTATCTTGCTAACCAAAAGATTGCTGACTTAATTTAAAATTAAAGGTCGATTGAGAACTGGATAATCAGAAATAGACTATTTAAAAAGATTTTTCATATTTCATCAAAATCCCTGAACTGTCCGTAAATAGGAGAAATATGATGTGATATAAATACCAACTTTTTATTCCGTACAAGCTTCACGTGTAATGCTGCTGTCGTATTGAGTTTTCGCTTCAACGTTGAGTGATCTGTGCAATAAACCAGATAAGGTAAAATGCAAAATAAGGGAGCTAATCGAGTCTGTTGTCGAAAACGATGCTTGTAAGGAACATATCAGAACTCCATGTCTGGAAAAGGATTTATCCTCCAACTACCAACTACAAATGTCAGATAAAAAAAGATTAACTGATCGATTTATAAATATTAGGTTGCACAAAGCGGGAACGGAACGCATGTTTGAATTCATAATCCTTGTTTGCATTACAATTTTTCTAGAAATACAAGCAAATATTTTGCTTAAAAATGTTCATCATGAATTAGTGCACGTTTACGCAGCAATATACACATATCAATTGCATTTGTGGGATAATTTCTTATCGAGTATACACGTGAGAACCCCTGTTGTCAATAAAAAGTAAGCTGTTTAACCCCAGCGTCAGTTGAAAAAATACATCGACGTTTCCGTAAATTTTTCAAATTATGACACTCATACCGTTCGCCACCTGGACAATAGTTTTCAGTTCCTTTGTTGTACTTAGCCTGCTCCTTGTAATGTTGCCCTTCTGAATGAACGAAATAACCGTTGAAGTGTTCATTCCATCGGCTTAATAGCACAACATCACCTTTAAGGGTGACAGAATTTATTCGCTCCGATCTCGACTAGTTGGAAGTCCTGAGAAAAACTAAGCCAAACAAGATAAATTAGAAGCATTGAAGCATTTCTTCGTTGATCGCGGTTTCTATGACACAGTGAGCTGTTACAACAATGTTAGAGTATTATCAGTCTGTTTCCGTTTCCAAACTGGAAAGTCTTCTCTTGGTTCTTAGTCCATTGTTTTAAATATAATTAACCTCGGTTAGAATGAAGGTGTACAGAGTGAGCGTCTCAGGTGTTCTCCATTCGAACCCATTCCCTCACAATTTGATGATACATTTATTTATATATGGAAAATCCATTGGGATTGAGATAAAGAAAACATCTACAGAATTATCATACGAGGAAGCATCAGGCGAATCAAAAGTCACAATGCATTACTTGGATTCGAGGTACAATAGTTGATTCTATCCCGTTTTAAATAATCCGAAATTGACAGTTTTTCTGAAACTCTAAACGAGTTAGTGATTGATTTGAACCATGAATTAGAACACTAAAGCTTTTAACTATTGTTATTGAGTATAAATATGTGTAAGAAAACTGGACGAATGAGATGGACTGTGGGCAATAAGAGTCACGTAAAACTATCATTGTATCTGCGAATTTTGTACACAAATCAGCCAGGGCGATAAGATGATGACCATGGTCTTAACCGCATGATCGATTCATGACACATCTTTGGTTAATTTCTCGTTTGATCACAGGAATTCTCTTTGCCACCGAAAACTGCCGAATCATCATATTTGCAAATATGGTCTTTGTTTGGACGACTTAATGGACGTAAGTTTTGTAAAACAGCGTGTATACTCTTTCGGTAGAAAAAACAGGTGAAGGTATGGTAAAATAACTGGTTCATCCTACGAGCTGACACTTAATAAACTGGTTGTTCGTTACACAGGTGAAATATAAATTTCAGCCAACTTACAAGGGCTTGTAATAATAAAACAAATCGTGTTTGAAAAGTATCAAATGGCAATCTTAGATGTTTTAAACTATGACCAGAATTTTCCGGGTGTAAGATACAGCCAACCGCTGCTTGCAAGGCCCTTCTCCTTCAGTTACTCTCGAGCGTAATCTGGCTAAAGGGCCGGTATATTTAAGGGAGAAATATTCTTGCCCACGACTAACTCGTTGTTGTCCCTGCTATCCGCTCTGGCATCGAGGACAAACGGACATTAGAGACTGCATCGCTTCCACAGGCCGTAAGCTAGCATCTCATCTCTTAACTGGTGTACCCGATGGGATCCGAACA